TATTTTTTTTAATTGTAATTGTTGTTTTGACAATAAATACATTAATCCGTCCATGCACAAAACGTACCATCTCGTGTTCCAAATCCGTGAAATGTTCTCCCTCTCTCGTGTTCCTTCTTGTTGCTCTCCTTCTCCTATTTCCTCTTATTTCTCCTCACACTGCACGTTCTCTGTTAACACTCCAAACTGGAATTTCCAGCCCGATTGAAATTAGTGTTATTACACTCGGTTGATCTAATGGGTTAATTTGATGACATGCCAACTTAAAATTTAAATTGAATCTATAAGTCAACCATCTACCCAAACAAAATTCATGCCATATTTAATTGAACTTTTCTAAGAAAAAAAATTAAACAGCATTTTAAATTTTTTAAAAAACTTGAAATAACAATGTTTTTCTTTCCCTCTAACCAACTTTAATTGATCTACACAGCTGCGATCCAAACCAGGTTGTGGACCAAACCGGCTTTTGTAAACATGGTTGAGCCACACGCGAAACAAATACAAATAATGAAGACCTCCGTATCAAGCTGGGAGACATATAGCTAGTTTTAGAAGACACCATCCAGTCGCGTCTCATCTCTCCTGGAAGAGAAAAGGAAAGCATTATGAAAAAGTCGAAGCGGAGTCATCATCTTGCCAGGGTGCGTTGCGCTGTTCTTTTATTCTCAAATAAAGGGCGTGAGTTGATGTTCTTGACCTCCCATTGCACGTAAACCTTGACGAACAACAAAGTTCATGATTGGCGAATTTTACTTTGAAGACTATAAAAAGCAAGGTCGAAAGGGAGACACCAATATGGAAAATAAGCTTTAAAAGTTGTCACGCAGAGATTGGTTTTTGATGCTACGTCGTATACACACATGAAACAACGAAGACCAGGCAGAGGAGTGTTTTGGGCGTCGACAAGAGCAATGCTTTTTTCCCCACTTGACTTGTAGTTGCGGGGCATCAAAATCCATGACAACAGGGAAAGGTGTGATAAAACACGAAAGCCAGAAAATCTAGCGTGGAATCGGGATAGGATAGCGGTGGGTAAAGTTTCCGGAAGATAAGCGGTCCGGATCAAATCCATAAAGCCGAACACAAAACACAAAAGCAAATTCGTGACGAGGAATCTGGCATGCTTTAAGCATGTTCAAACGACAAGTTGGTTATTGGCCGTTAAAGTCCAGGAAATGTCAATATGGTATGCAAGCACCCCCATCCACACCCAAAAAACAGAGAGCTAGGGCACAGTTGTCTTTTTCTAAAAAAAATTCCAAGAACACTTGCCATTTTTAAATGACAGGGTTGGCTGACAGAAAATTTATGTTTTACAGCAAAAAGGAAAACTTAAACTACCCGTGCAGAGTAAAGGAGTCCATGATTGATGGAGTCAGATGCCACCTTCTTCTTTGTTGTTTGTACGTGAACTAGCATTACTTACCCCTGTTTTGGTTTTATCCTGTTTGTAATTGTGAACCTGGTTGTCATTAAAATTTATTTTTTAATTTTAATTTATTTTTTATTTATTGTTTTAATGTATTGATATTAAAAATAAATTTTTTAAAAACAATATTATTTTAATGTGAAAACTACTTTTAAATCCTAAAAAAAATGATCAACCACAACGTATGCAGCTGTTTTTTAAAATTTTGAATACGAGTTCATTAGATTTATGTTGGTTTTGAATTTTGACCTTTCAATAACACTTTCAACAACCAGATTTAGTTTTCCTCGCACTTAATTCGAATATAGAAATTAAAAAGTGCAAATATGAGAGCAACTGAGATCTGAGAGGGCCAAAACTGTAAACTCCCATCAAGGCCTTAACCGGAGAGATTGCACCGCTTCCTCTTTTTTCCAAGTACAAACAAATTTTGAATACCGTCCTAAAAATTCCAGCCCTGTATATGAATCACGTCCTCTGCCCGGACTTGACAGTCTCGATGTATCTTTTCGAGTTTTCGTTGTGTCCCTTTCTTTGGGGTTTTACTGTCATTGCACTCCAACTCTCATCCAACAAAAGAAAAAAATAATAAAATAATAATCAAAGTTCAGAAAAGATAAAATGTTTTGGCAGCAGTTGCCAAATGGGTTTTGAATATAGAGAAAAGAGCAAAAACAAATGAGAGACTGCATGTATTTTTTTAATATAAAACATATTTAACAAGTATTAATTTAATATTTTTTAAAATTTTTTTTTTTGAAGAATATGTTAAAAAACTTATTAAATTTTTTTTGAAGAATATGTTAAAAAACTTGTTAAGCAAGTAAAAGTTATATACGGGTCAAGATAAACGAGGTGCCATTCCAGAGGCGTTTTATTTAGTGCTGCCTTTTCCTTAATTTGACTGCTGTTCCAACATTAACAGCCTTGAGAGAGCAAGGGTCGCCCCATGATTGGATCTTCTCTTTCTTGAGATGTGAACTGTTTGACCCTCTAGGGAGCTGTGATGTGGGGTTGACGTCGCACGAGCTTCGCTCGAAATCTGGGCTGTTCAGCCCATGCCTGTTTTCTTCAGCAGTGGAGGAGGGAGGGGTTCGAATATCTCCACGGTGATCTATTAACTTTGTCCAGGAAATGCATGCTGGCAGTAACCGAGACTCGTCTTTTCCCCCTCTTACCTCTCCATCATTATTCTGTAAGCGTGAGTGTGTTTTAGCCGCTGTGTTTTTTACTTTTTACACCACTAGAAGTGAAAAACACAGCGGAAAAAGTATGCTTGTGCTTGTATCTCACAGTAAACGTTTTGTAAGATGATTCGCATTTAGCAAAGCCTTGGAAAGGGTGGGGGAGGAGGGAGATAAGAAGGGAATGAATAGAGCAAAAAACTTGATATATTTTTAATTTTAGCCACGAGGATGGGGTAGAGTAAAAATAAAAATAAAAAATTTAAAATCCATGCCGGTGCGAGATTTTTCTTTAATATTTTAAGTTAGGAGTGGGTAGGCTGTCCAAGATCTGATGCGAGGAGAGTTTTATCGCTGGAAAATACTCATATAGTACACCAAAAATACACGCAATTCGTCAATGTAGAAACTATACTACACCTGCTGTTTACATTTCTAATTAATGAAGCCGATTGGAATTAGATTCGCTCGGGCCGAGAATCGCGGTCCTCTGATATCGTCAATCAGCATGGAATCCAAGTGCCTAATGGCTGTCCATGCAATCTTCTTATCTTGATTAGGAATTCATATGATAGTGCCTAATGAATATACACATAACGTGAACATACATTTAATCCAGCCTAGTAGCGATTACAGCCCCTGTCCAGGTCTAATCCAACCCCAGAAATGGTTGTTGGTTAATGGAGTCAGTTCTTAGATCAGCCAGTCAACCTATATCTATTAAAAAAAAATAAAAAAAATTTTTTATATAAAATAAAATAACATCATTTTGAATAATTTTTTTAAAAAATCAATTTTTAAAACAATCTTAAAATTGATATGATTATATCTACTCCGATTTTACTGTTTGAAATAGGTCTCTTATTGATCCACTAGGTTGCATAAATTTAACCAAATTAAATTTTGATAAATTGAGTTTTTAGAGTATATTTTCATAAAAAATATTAAATAAAAAAAATTATAATTATAAATTTCAAGAAAAATCAATATATCTTAGTAAATACATGGTGGTTATGGTACTAGTCGGACTTCAAACACTAATTTTGAATAAAACAATATGGTTTTGATTTTTTTTTAAATCAATCTTTTAAAAATAAATTTCCAAAACTGATAGGATTTTTTCTACACTGATTTTTCTGTTTCAAATAAATCTCAGATTAATTTATGGATCTAATTTTGAACTTGATCCAAAACCAAACCCGACCATAACTATGCTCTGTGTTGACAAATCACTAATTTAATTTATGCACGAGGCATGCTCCATTAAGCCTGTCCTCCGGAGAGAAAAAAAAAATCACAAGGCAGCTAAAAAATATTATTTGGAAGTCTGGAAGTTATTATTTACCAGATACGTGCTGCTACGGGTCTCTAAAATACTTTTTCTCTGTTTCATATTTGACGGAGTTCTCTTAGTTCTTCCCTAACCAGAGCGTGTCTGTTCAGTTGTACTTGGAACCGTCCACGTGCTCGCATTTCACAACTTTGAATATCAATTAATGAATTGTTTAAAAACAAAAAATAATCATGAACTGGAGGGGATGGTTTTCCAAGATAAATAAAGAAATAATAGATGCTAGTCTTAACAGAAATTTAATTCGTTTACCTGATAAACGGCCGCGTATGAGGCTCGTAATGTGCCCATGCGCGTAACTGTGCATCTGCTCATCACAGTCCAAGGCTAAAACCAATGAAGGATCTCGAGAAATAGCACAGGCAATTGCGGTCTTTAATGAAAAATAGTATTATTAATGAAAAACCAGGATTGATAATTGTGGTCTCTAAACTAACAGCAAATAAAAAAATTACAGTATTTTTTTTAAAAAAACACTAAAAATCGGTAGTTATAACTGTATTCCGCAAATAAAAAAATTACAGTATTTTTTTTTAAAAAACATCTCGCACTAAAAATCGGTAGTTATAACTGTATTATTTTTTATTTAAAAAATGGCATGTTCTAGATTACTAAATCTCTCTTAAAAACTGTGCTAATTTTTAAAAAATTGAAGATAAAATAAAGGGTGCCTGCGGCAAATGAAAGTTGCTTGCATGTGGAAAACCGCCCATACCCCACTTGGATTCCAGGGAATTTTTCTACAAGGAAACAAAAACAAGGTTTTAAGCCTCAAAACAATTCCCCCTCAAAGCTCACATGTGCTCTTGTTTTTTCACCATCACAAGCTTGACTTTTACGCCCAAGCGGTCCATGGTCCCCCAGCTGCTTCAAGGATGTGTCTTTGCGATGGTTGGGTGTGACTAGTGACAATGGTGGCAAAATAGTTCTCCTAAGCACCCCTACCAAATCCCTATAAATTCTCCCTCATCCCAGCCTAACCTTCTTCACTCCAGCGCCTCACATTTTCACTAGCCTGCTCTCTGTTCTTCTCAAGGTTTTATCTTTTCATGTAATGAGCATCTCTTTTCTCTCACATTTGCTTTTCAAAATATTGTTTTAAATGAAATGAACCTAACAAAAAAATAGCTAAACTGGTTTACTCCCTTTGTGCAGGAAAATGGCTCTAGCTGGAATTTTCTTGGTGGGTCTCCTTGCAATGGTTTCATCTGTTAATGGTTATGGTGGTGGAGGGGGGATAAATCCCCGTGCAACCTTCTATGGAGGTGGTGATGCTTCTGGCACAATGGGTATGCCACTTTGCAGAAACGAACCTTTTTAAGAAATTAAACCCTTCTAGGGCACACCATATGACTAATTTTGCTCGTTTTGATAAAATATGTAACTTCAGGTGGGGCTTGCGGTTACGGGAACTTGTACAGCCAGGGGTATGGTACAAATACTGCAGCTTTGAGCACAGCTCTGTTCAATAGCGGGTTGAGTTGTGGATCTTGCTATGAGATTAGGTGCGTGAATGACCCCAAATGGTGCTTGCCTGGCTCCATTTTGGTCACAGCCACCAATTTCTGCCCTCCAAACAATGCCCTGCCTAACAATGCAGGGGGATGGTGTAACCCTCCTCAACAGCACTTTGATCTCTCTCAGCCTGTCTTCCAACACATTGCTCGATACAGTGCTGGAATTGTACCTGTGTCCTACAGAAGGTGAGTCTCTAGCTTCTTGAATGGAGGAAAATGTTGTCATGAATAAGGTGGTTTAAAGAAATTAATCTCAATTTTTTCTTAATCGAGTGTCTGGTGAGGGTTATTTACGTCTTTAATCAGTCTCTTTATGTTTTTAAATCCTTTCTTCACGGTTCAGATCCTTTCCGTAACTCAAATTTGATTGCAGTCAACCTTTCCCTTTCTCAGTTATTTCTGAGGTTTAATATAAAAAAACTCATCTCTAAACTTTCCCTTTCTCAGTGATTTCTGAGGTTTAATATAAAAAAACTCAGATTAATGTCCCTAGACCAGTTTTTTTGAACTAAAAATGAAGGGCAGTTTAAGTTCTTAGCAAGGTCCCCCCTTTACCACTTTCTTACCACGAACTGTGAGAGAGAAAGTTCAATTTCCTCTTGGAATGAGGAAGGTTGCTCTTCCCTCACAAGGAGTTCTCTTCTTTCTGGCTTTAGTAGGAGTGTTAATTGTCTTGGTGGCGGGTTTTTGTAGGGTACCCTGCAGAAGGAGAGGAGGCATAAGATTCACAATCAATGGTCACTCCTACTTCAATCTAGTCCTGATAACCAACGTTGGCGGTGCTGGTGACGTGCATGCTGTGTCCGTCAAGGGGTCTAGGACTGGATGGCAACCAATGTCAAGGAACTGGGGGCAAAACTGGCAAAGCAACAATTATCTTAACGGACAAAGTCTTTCATTCAAGGTCACCACCAGTGATGGCCGTACTGTGGTCTCCAACAATGTTGCTCCCTCTAGCTGGTCCTTTGGGCAGACCTTCTCTGGTGCCCAGTTCCACTAGGGACCGACTCTGCGTGCCTTCTGTTCTTTCAGCATGTTAGGTCTATATTTATTTAGTACTTATTATTAGAAGTAATATTAGTATGATTTTATTAGTGCTAATATATACTTGTATCTCGATTGGAAGTCTGTATTAGGTTCTCTTTGGTCAGGATGAGAAGGGCTTATTTTAATTGGCACTCTCATTTTGAACTTATTGAGTCACTCAGGAGTGTCCTATTCAAGGGACACTCCTTACTAGTCTCTCTTTACTAGTCTTGGGGCTTTTCCTTTTTTTCTTCCGCCGTTGAAAAGGGCGGAAGATTATGGCAGGGGGGGGGGTTTTTGGGCTTTTACCACCCGCCGCTAGTATTTTGAGTAGTTTTGCTCTTCTTTATTTCGCTCCCCCGCAGCTTTCAAGGGATTTGGGAGCTGCGGGTTATTTTTTTTTAATTGTTCTTGTAAGCTGACTGTGATCAGCGCCCGCTGAATTATGTCCTTGGGTTTTTATGTCTGGAATTTAAGACTAAAGTGTAAATTTCCAATTTCTACTAATGATGAAAGTAGTGGTGGAGTGCTGTTATTCCCGACTATCCTTTGTTGTCTTTCTTGTCTTCTGTTGTGTGTATGGCAATGCCCTTCCTTTATTAGTCCAGTTGGACCGGCACCCTCCAATAAATAAATTATGAAAGATGTAATTAAAATCAGTGGCAAGCTAATTGACTAATTGGGCTACCCGACGGCCTGCAGCTGGTTCTTCTTAAGTTCCAAATTCAAGCTAAGCCATGTGATAATAGATTTTATCCAAGCCTGGACCCCATTTGCCCAACTTCGCACAAATCCAAAAGATTTGAGGCCTTGTGCTCTTAAATGTTATTTAAATTGATTTTGAGTGTTTTTTATAAAAAAATAATTATTAAATTTATATTTTTAAATTTATTCTAAATGCTTTTGTTGTTAGAATGAAAGTATTTAAAAATATTTTTTTAATCCTATCAAACGTATTTAAGAAAAAAATAGAGGCATAGCCCAATTAGTCAATTAGCTTTCGTTTTATTTTATTTTTTGTTTTGGCCTCAATGCTGCTGCACTTATCTGCCTTCACCAACCAAAGATCAAGTTTCCAGTATAAAAGTTGAAAGACAGTTCTTCAAGAGATTTAAGCGAGTTTTTACTCTGAATCTGACTTGAGTTTTGAATATTGATGGTTAAGGAGGAGCTTCCCTGGGGACAGACATCCAAAGCCGAAGGCTTTATGTTGTTGAAGGTCGTCCTAAGAGTTAGAAGTGTGCGAGGTGTGGCAAATAAAGACGATTAACAACTGATGGCTTGGTATTTAGATTTGGACTAGTTTACAGTGACGCACGGGTCAGATTACTATTGGTATTGTTGTTGCACATGACTAAGTAGGGTAATCCTACAGTATTTTGATATATCTCTTTACATATATTTAAAATTAAACTACTGGGATTTGTTTTAATATGAGTTAGTTATCTTGATTTGCTCAAAGAGAAACCCAGTTGATCGATAAAAATTTTTAAAAATAAAATTGATCAAAAAAACTTTTTGATCTAGTTCTTTACTTAGGTAGATTTTAAATTAAATTATATAATTTGTTTCTAATATGACACAATCATCTTCATATGTTTAAAGCAATATAGCCTATCAATCAAAACAAAGAAGCTTAGGGGAACCATCTAGGTGGTGGCCAAGTGGTAAGAACTTGGGATCAAGGGGTTTGCTCCCTCTGTGGTTTCAGGTTCGAGTTCTTGGTTGCTCATATGATGGCCACTGGAGGCTTACATGGTCGTTAACTTCAGGGCTCGTGGGATTAGTCGTGGTGCGCGCAAGCTGATCCGGACACCCACGTTAATCTAAAAAAAAAAAAAAAGAAGCTTAAGGGTGAAATTGATAAAACAAAAAAAATTAATTTGATTATTTAACTAATTTAAGTTTAAAATTAAATTATATAGAGTTAATTTAATATAATTTAATTATCTTGGATGATTCAAAATCAACTCAAATACCACTAGTATGAAATTAAAAAAAGAAAAAAAGAAAAGAAAATTAAAAAAAGAAAAAAAAAGAAAGAGAAGAGAGTGCACCTGCACATGAACAGAAAAGTAAGGGCAATGCAAAGGCTGAGAGTTCCCTTAACTATAGCTGAAATGGAATGATCTTGGCGTAGGTGGTAAATTTAATTTCAGTTAGAGCACTACTGTGATAAAACATTGGGATAACGTAGACCTTGAAGAAAACACAGGATTATTTTTATTGCCACCAACATTTCAAAAACACCAAGGGTAAGTTAACATTACAAGAATTTGATTCGTCTTCTCTTCCCGCACTTGCCCACGTTTCTCTCTCTCTGTTTTTTTTTTTTGGGCGTACCCTAGATGGTGACTCGCATTTAAGTGTAAACGGGAATCTGTCAAGTTTTAACCCCGCCGGTGTGTGTATAGCTCCACCTGTTAAATTCCTGGTTTATCCTCATTTATACGTGTTAGAAATGAAAATCCGAAATACCTCAGCAGAATAAATGATACCAGCTAGCGGATGAACAACCTTTCTACTTTTTTTTGTGGTTTTCTTGAACGAATCAAAAAACCATTTGTCAGTTGCGCTTTCTTTGACAGTGCCTGGTATCGATGAAGCAGGTCATTTCATATCAATGTCTCCTCTGCTTGTCACTTGCCTTCCAGTCTCTTTATGGGAACCTCGCCTCAATATTCGTTGTGTTTGGTTACACGAATACCATCAGAGAATAGGATAAAAAAACCAGACATGTTTGTTGTTACTGTCGAATTAACAGAACGTCTTCTTCTTGTTTTTTTATTCTCCTTCTGAGAAATTCACATGGGAATTAACCCTTTAGCATGGAGGCTCGGTGCTGGTAAAATGGATCGAAGTGGAAGTCCTGGAGGTTCCTGGAGATAACAAACGAATGGGAGGTCACATTGAACCTGTTTTTCCAAATCCCGAAGGTAATAAGATTTGAAAGATTCAACTAACAAACAAGATACATGAAAGAGGTGGGCATATCCATTCACATTTTAACTCTGAAAGCAACCGTGCACAAAGAGCATCAAGGATTGGAAATACTCGAGGCAAGGATATTAAAATAATATTTTATTTATTTTTACTATTAAGACATCAAAACAATTTAAAATAAAATAATTTTAAATAAAAAACTGAATTTTAATCGATTCATTTGGCCATAATCCCATACCAGGAATAATTAAAATGTATTTAGAAGTGTGATGATAATAAAATATTTTTTATTAAAAATATATTAAAAAAAATTTTTATTTTAAAAAAATTATTTTTGACATCAACATATCAAAATATTTTTAAAATATTAAAAATTATTAATTTTACAAAAATAATTTTTAAAAATCTTTTTAAAACATAAATACAAATAGTTATTTATATGAAAATATACTTGAATCTAAAAAGGAATAAAAATAAATAATTTTAAACTTAACCACGCACATCCCAACAAATAAAACTAAACATAAAACAATGTAAATCTTCACATATTTCAAGTTTAAAAAATATTCTTTATGAGATATAATGAAAAATAATCTAAATTATATTTTGTATTAGCCATAACATAAAAATTCAATTTAAAGATGAATATAAATTACATATACCTCGTATATAAATGGAAACAAACAAGATTAAATTAACTCCAAGGTGTAACGAAATTTAAGTGATAATTCACTGAAGATTAACTTATCCAAGATGAATTAAACTGCATTAACTTAATAATGTGTTGTGTTTGTTTATACAAATCAATATATGTTTATCTTGTACTATTAGCATGGAAATTTTAAAATTTTTCTGAAATAATAGACTTGATAATTCATAGAAATTTTGTAGAGAGAGGGGGGCCGAATGTTTTTGTTGGAAGAGAAAAGGGGGAGGAGGTATAATTTTGTGACCCATGGTGACTTCAAAATAACAACAGGGTACGCTGTCGTTCCAGGCCATGACAAGGTAAACTATCAATCACGCTTTATAAATAAATGTGATATCCATCAGACACAGTGTTTTAGAATTGCGACAGGCTAATACTGTAATTTTCTTTTTTATTTGTAAGATACATTATTTCACTAATATTTTTAATTTATGGTTTTAATTTTTTTAAAATTAAAATATGTGTCGATTGACGGGGATTCTGAGAGGTCAAACAAACTCTCTTTTGTGATTGCCGTGGTGGTGGGATCCAACTGGCGGCGAATCTGGAGCCACGTGAAAGGAGTCAGGTTTTCTGACACACCACTCTTTTTCTTACCAATCGACGGCTTCTCGCTCTCCACGACAAAACTGCTTTCGTGTCGATTAGGCAGTGTACGGCCTAAGCCTGCATATTTAATTTTACGTTACGAAAGTATTTTACAAAATTTTAAAATTTATTTTTTATTTTTATATTGATACCAAAAATTATTTTAATATATTTTTAAATAAAAAAATATTTTAATATGCTTTATATGTTTTTTTCTTTTTATTTTTTTTTATAATGGTATGAATAATTTTTTTGAGCTTTTTAGCACTTTTTACCTTTTGTAAGATAATTAAATTCTGTTGATAAATAAATTAATTTTAAATATTTAAAAGAGATAAAATTAAATTTCTGTATTTGTTATATTATTTTCCTTTTATTTTTTCAAAATTTTGTAATTAATTTTAATATTAAATTCTTTCTTTTTAAAATTATAAATCAGAGAATTTAGCATTTAATTTATTTTGATAGTAGTTTAAAATTTAAAAGGATTCCCAGAATTTAATTAAGAGTTTGGATTCGGAACACTCGATATGTTTTGGACAGTTTATCGTAGCCCCATGTGACTCGCCGTATATTTCGGTTCCGCACCTGTAATTGTGTGTTATGGGGACATCATAGTAATAATAATAATATCATATCGGGAGCTAATGATAAGACGAGGTCAGTCCCGTCATTTTACGATGTATTTTGTCATTTTTATTATGATGGCTTGTTTTTTGTTTTTTTTGAAAACTCACGCGACTCGTGACTCGGTTCAATTTTGGAACCCCCCCCCCCCCCCAAAAAAAAAAACAACGATTTCACTCATTCAATTCGAGTGATTGAGGAGTATGCCAATTCAATCAGTGGGATGTGAAAGTTCTCTCGAGGTATTTTGTGGTTATTGGATTGATCTGGGGCCTAATATTTATTTTCTAATTTATCTATTTATGGATTCTTATTAAATCTTGATTTTTTTTAAATCTTTTAACTAAATAATTTTTTAAAACAAAGCAGCGGTGACATCATGTAAACTTTAAATTCAAAAGATTTTCGGTGTTTATTTGTTACTGTAATTGAAATTGTTTTTTTAGTATATTTTTCATTTAAGAAAATCAAAATAATAATTTTAAGGTATTTTTAAATATTTTTATATACTCAAGTGAAGGTATTTAAAAAAGGATGCAAAATTATTTTTTCTCTCCTTAAGATGGCTATTTAATAATAAGTAAAATCAATGATGAGTGATTAAACTCGACTCGACTTGTGATTAAAATAAGTATAATTTATTTTAGAGGGTCCTCTTGCTCATACCCCTTCCTAGCTCGGAATGGAAAACTATCTCTTAAACGGACATCTTCGACTGCATGACCGTCCTCCTTTGATTATTTTATGAACATTCGTTGTAGTTTTTTCGATTTAAAAGCCTGCCGTTCTAAACGCACGAGTCTCGGGGCCTTGGCAGTGCCGAAAATCTAGTTCGGTATCGATGTCATTAATTTGTTGACTTGTATCAGATTTGTCTCATAAATACATCATACAGGATTTCTGATACATGTTCCTCTACTTCAAGAACAGTTGCTGGTGCTGATAAAACATCGCTACAGACCAGACTCTACCATGTTAAATGCTGCTTCTATTTTTCTGTCCAGCGGTACAAATGGATGAATGATGCTGCAAAAACTACCTAAAGGAGGTCTGACATTCAATCAAATCATCAGCCAGGGCCGTGAGAAACTGGGGTCGGATTCTTTTTAGTTAAACAGTGAGAGTTATGACTTGTGAAAATATGCAGATGGGCATTTATTTGTGATGCATCTAAGGTAAGCGAGCGGCACCCACCGACTGTCCAGAACAATAACCACTGAAGACAATATATAACTTCTCCTTCAATTGCTTTAATATAGCAAAGCAATCGGCCATGGCATTTAAAGGGTTAAAACTTAAAGCCATGGCTTAAAAAGGAACCGAAAGCTGACAGTTAGGCAGCTAAAGCGGGCTCGCCTCATTACTGTAGTTCTTTCTTTTCATCAGTTTCACCAGGAGGGATGCTGTGATTTCCAAAGCCTTCTCGTTCAGTTAATTTACTGCCCGGCCAAATTAATTTTCTCGTGCACATGCTCTTTCCCGATCCTCTAATCTAACAAGATTTACAGAGCGAAGCCCAGTTTGTTCATTTCCGAAAGTTGATTTATTTTTTTGGATTAGAGTGGCGTATTTTATGGAAAATAATTTTTTAAAAAACGGAAAACCAATCACAAGTATAATGAACGATAATGTTAACATGTAACATTTGGAAGCGTTTTTCTATTTTCCTTTTTAATTAGAAAGGAATAAATGCTCTCTCCTCTCAAGACATTACCATTTTTTCTGACTCAAAAAATAATCATATATTTATTTATCTCGTAGAAGGTCAGGGGAAATGGTTTCATTTTCTTGGAAATAAACAGAGCATGAAGCTGGACAGCTTGTCAAGGCGTAGCCATCCTTAAAGGCCCACTGGGCCATTGTGTCCGATACCTTGCATGTTGCAATTTTCAGTCTTGAATTCTAAGTGCACCACTTTATGAAATAAGAAATCCCATTAAAATACTAAAAAAATACGTTTCATTTTTTGAAGGAAATTCCAGTTAAAACCCGTCAGAAGATTTATAATTTTTTTAAAATTTTTTGAACATATGCTACAACCCCTCAAAACTTCGTTTTCATAGACAAGTCACACATCAAAAGACAACAACATAAAAAAAAAAACGCTGTATTAGTGTTGTGTGGTTTTCATCCTCTCTGACAGCTATAGAAATCAAAGAAAATCTAAAAATGCTAGATGCTAGGGTCTCATCAAACCGTGAAATTATCCCTTATGACCTCATATAATGGTTCAGAATAGCTACTGTAGATTGGGTTTTTCTGGGCATTTTAATTTTCTCTGTCGAATCTCTCGATCATATATCAGTATCTAGCTGAGCTGTGTGCATGTTTACTAATAAGTACGCTGTTACCTTCGTCGATCTGGTAGTTGGGTTGTCAAGGTGTTTTACGTGGAGAGATTTGCCTAGATTGTGACTTCATAGCCCTATTCACATGATTTTGATGGCATTCCTACGCTGGAGTTGAATAATTGCTTTGCTTGCCGTTGAAACAGTCTAATCACCATCTTATCTTATATATTTATTAAAACATTTTAATTTATTAACTCGAATTTTTTTTAAAATATAAAAAGACATTGAAACCCAACTTAACGATTCATTCTCTCTCTCTATATATATAAGGAGTGAAAATCCAGCATAGCAATTCATTTTAATAACTTATTAATAGCTAGGTTGGATTTCAAATATTTTTTAGTTTTTTAAAATAAAATGAAGGGAAATTTTCTTCCAAAATTCAAGATTTCACAAGACTCTAACTAGTTTTAATGCTGGAATATCAATTACAAAAATTGATACATTTAATTATAAAAAAACTGCACAATACAACCATTTATGAAATATTATCTCAATAATAAAGTGATCATGTGGTCCCATCGATCTTTCAAGCGATCCTGACACTAAGATAATTCTAAAAGGTAGCTTATTTCTATAGCCGATAACAGAGCTAGGATTTTTTAAATGAAAAAATAAATTATTAATAAATATTTAATATTATATTTTATGTAGACATATATTATATTAAGAAATTAATTTTGAAATATATATACTAACTTATATCAAACAAAATTAATTTAAAAATACTTCTAAAATAAAAAACTTACATTATAATTGTTTTTTTCGAGTTTTATATTTTAAAACTGATTTATAATAATTTTATTATCAATCTCATCAAAGATATTTTTTTTAATATATATAATCAAACTGTCATTCATTTTTTTTTTGTTTAGAGTGGGTTTAATGCTCGTGTTTTCTAAATTTTTTAATGACTAGAGAAATTCTTGACAATAATTCTACATTGACATATAATAGAGAATAACTAAAATCATAACTTAAAATAATTGTTATGATAAATTAATGTTATTATAATTAACTAATTATTTTCTACATTTAGGTTAAACATAAATATTAAATATTTTTTATTTCTCTATTGTGTCCTTAAGTTTTTAAGTTGTCCTGTACTTCATTTTTAATCACTCATAGGTTTATCACTATTCATTTTTAATATAAAATTCACAATAAAATATTTATCAATTTATTAAAACTTATTTGAATTCATATCCATATGCATATAATATTACTTATACACATATTAATTCACAAACCCTTAAATTATTATAAATCCTAATATTTTTAGTAACTAATTATAAAGGAATAAAACTAGAATTAAACAATAAAACAAATAGAAAATATGAAGAAAATTTACCTAAAACATAAAGTATAAGAAGTTATTTATTTAATTATCTAATAGTTTGGAACATGAAGAAAACTTTTGTTAAAAAAAAAGATGCAAGAATAGTAGCTCAAAAGAAAAAAGAAAAGCTCTCAGTTAATTAATGAAAAAAAGAAAAAATTAATGAAATGTGCTAAACATATATATTATATGTTATATTGTAAATTATGTTAATACATTATTAATATTCTAATATAAAAATTACTTTTTAAAAAAAGTTTAAAGGTGCAACGGTATATTTTAATATAAAAAATACGTTGAAAAGAAAAATTGAGGCAATCGCCCCCTTTTGAGACCATGTGGCTCCGCCAACGCCTACAGCCCATCCATTTTTGGGTTCTCGGCAATTAAATTTGTGCTCTCAAGCAGGCCGACAGTTTCCCACGTATACTGGAAGAAAACGTTGCAGGGGAACATGGTGATGCCTTGTTTCATCGGTTTGAAGGTAAAAATAACCAAAAACAACACAGGAGGAAAATCAGTGCGGAAAATTGGTATCAAACTGCTTACAGAACTCGATTCACAGAAGTTGTTTTAAATTACATGCGTTGTTGTATGGTTTTAATATACATTGCTATATGGTTTCAATATACATCTCCAGGACACGCCAAGGCATGATGGGGGCAGCCCGCCTGCCCTTTGTGACCTCGTCTCACCGGAGTTTAGACAGGGAAGACTTAAATTTAAGTAAAACCTACAACTTGTATGCATAAGATTGGAAACAGTGCCTCATTTGATAGAATCAAGCACCATTCTTTCTAACAAGTTACCAGCATAAGGGAATTCCTATGCTGATATCAAGCTGTATAGATATTATGTATTCACTGGATTCTTCTCGCTGTTGAAAAGCTACAAACCTATAGCAAATTCAGTATCGTCATTTAGAGGACAGGTAATTTCACAAAAATGTGACCAAGCTCTCTAGCAACTTTTCACTGACTGAAGAGTTGCATCCCTCAATCTCAGTGTGGTTGCTGCAAAAAATAAATTGGTTTCAATTTACAATAAGCTGGACGATAACAATTTATCACCTGAAGATAAGCAATTCAATACAGCCGCTTCAAAGAGGAACTTATGCTCAACAATCTTTGCTCTAAAATGAGATCTCACCATTATCAAAAGACTAAATCAGTGGTTCTTATAACTCGCAACAGAAATCCAAGAATAAAAGCATCAAAATTTGCAATAGGACCAACAACTTGAAGACACTCCTAAGGAATAGGGATGTGTGAGGAATCATGACTTGCATGTTGCATGCTTTTCAACAGATTCCCACTTCTACCACCTTCTACCTAGAGAGTCCGCCATCTGCGTTTCTAACCGAGGTGTAGGGCAAGATAAATCTGGCAATACATATACACTAACTTGATTCTGATCTGAGGCAACTAATATTTTGACCATAGCCGAGTGGCAACACCAATATAGATTCAGTACTTTTTTACACCAATAGAGAACTTAATCTATTTCAAGTGCATTCCAAAGGTGCAACTTAATTTTAACCAAGGTATCTCTTACTGGAGCAACATGCAACAACAATAAAAATATTCCTGAAATAAATGAATTCCAAAATCCACTCTCTTATTACTGAAATAAACATCTCCGCCATAATGAATGTAAATAATACTATCTGAATCAAATAAAATTAAATCTCAATTCAAGGCTTCTGTAATGTTGATGTGGCATTCTCCTGGAAGATAGAGAACTTTAAACTAAAATAATAGTACTGAAATGAGCTACCGCAGTCAAAACACGCCTCAAGAACAGAATTTCAACACCTGGATCCCTAACACACCATAATAAAAAAATAGCTACAGAATACAAAATGGCTTCAAATCCTAAATTAACCCAACAAACAGGCTAAACATAACTCAAATAGGTAAATACTTTGAAGAATTTCCACCTCTTATTTTGGTATAGCCTAGTTGAAGGTCACATTGGTCATCTAGTAATATGCTCAAACTATCGCCTATGGTTGATACTTTAGATTGAATAGAAGCATTGAAAGAGGTAATACTCTAGCTCTTATACATTTAATTGCATCTTATAGATGAACTTTAAGTGACTGTATTATTCCAATGGGCACCATATTACAAACTTTTAGATGATTTTTTCCTTAGTAAACACCATAATGGAGGATGGTTACGTATATCCACATCTCCACATCTATTTTTACTCATTCCAGCAATCGCTAACTCGGTCAACAGGTTCAGATCAGTTCATAGATGACCCATGTGAAATATAAGGGGGAAAAAAAATACTTGTCTGCTTATTTAAACCAGAAACGAGGAAAAAACTTACCTGAGAATACAAATGGTCATCAAACATAGTAACAGCGCACGATCCTGGGGTAGAAGCCCAACCACAAGGGGTGGAGTCATACCCAGGTTTAGGAGCTTCAAAACTTCCATTAACATGAAAATCCTCAGGGCTTTTTTGTATTTTCATCTCTGCTGCAGGTTGGAATTTCGTATCGTTCAACAAATTTAGATTGTATGACCCAGGCAGGTAAGGGTACTGCCCAGCCATCTGTAGCCTCAGTGATGCAGTTCCATTAAACTCATCAAGAATACCATTCATACCACTTTCTTGACCAGAACTAGATAGCTCCGAATTTTTCCCCGCACCAAAGTAGCCAGAATAACTCCCAAAAGAGGTGGTTGCAGAGCACTCCGCATCCCTTCAAAAAAAGATATTCAATCAATTAGTTAAGAGCACATCATCAGGAGGGGTATTCTAAACTCCTCTATGCATAGGTACATTGTTAATTTGTAACCTTTTCTATGTATATTTGTGTCCTATCCTGCACAATATAAAATACTTCTAAGAAATAGGTGGGTCCTACACTATGCCTGAATCCCCGACACTCTTTCCATGGGTTTCTG